CAGAGTAGGTACAGGATGAATGGCCGGACATCAGCTTTGCACGTGTTGGTATTGCCAGGGAGTTGGTGGACGGAAGGGAGGGGGTGCTCTGCAGAGATCAGGACCGATAACATCAGTTCGGGACTCAGTGGCACCCAGGTGGTGTTGAAGCCACAGCTCTGGAGGATGGGTCCAGGGAATGAGTGCAGATGGAGGAGAAGGAGTGAACGGGGGGTTGCACTGTTTGGGGACAAGGAGGCAGTGAGTGGCTGAAGAGGAGGGCAAGGCAGCTGCGGCAAATGGGCACATGGGTCAGGTTAGTTGAGGACAGAGCTCTGACAGCTGGATGGGGCTACGTGGAGCTATACGGGTGGTCCCAGTGGAGTGCTGGGGTGAGGGTGGTTACAGCCTGACGGGAGAAGGTTCTGGCTAGAAGGGAATGTGGTGGCCACAGGGTGGACGTGCCTATGAACATCTCAAACCCCACTGCATCATACACAATTTAGTTGGTAAATCAGAGGGCATGTGAATTACAAGTTAATTATGCTGTTACTGAAAAAGGAAGAGGGAGGGAGAAAGAGTCCGTTGCTGGGAATCGATCCTGCGGATCCCGTTGTGCACATGGGAACGGCATACACACTAAGGTACTCGTTGCTACATGCTCTGGGATGCATTCCATGATGGACTGCTACACGGCTACAAAAAAGTGTGGAAGATTTCCGTGTATGGAGAAAGGACGATCCCCAGAGCCTGCTAATGACCGGAGCACGGTGCCCAACAGTATTGCCTACAGTACACACCTAGGCCTTCCTTTTTGCAACAGGTGCATGTGTTGGGGGAAAAAGAAATTATTTGCTTTGACTTACATGTAGAAATACTGGGAAAGATATTGAAGAAGTTGAGGAAAGTGGCTATCTCGCTGTAAACTTTATCAGTTGGATTTCTGAAACATGTAAGTGCATTTCTGATTCAAACAAACCAAAAAGTAACATTTAAAAAGAGGAAAAGAAGGGTACCGGGGTGGCTCGATCAGTTAAGCATCCAGCCCTCACTTTGGCTCAGGTCATGATCTCACGGTTCATGAGACCTAGCCCTCTGTCGGGCTCTGTGCTGATAGTGTGGAGCCTACTTGGGATTCTTTCTCTCCCCCTCTCTCCCCCTCCCCTGCTCTTGCCCATGTACGCTCTCTTCCTCTCTGAGGATAACCATTTAGGGGCACCTGGGTGGCTCAGTCGGTTAAGCGTCCGACTTTGGCTCAGGTCATGATCTTACGGTTTGTGGGTTTGAGCCCCGCATCGGGCTCTGTGTTGACAGCCAGCTCAGAGCCTGGAGCCTGTTTCGGATTCTGTGTCTCCCTCTCTCTCTGACCCTCCCCTGCTCACGCTCTCTCTCTCTCAGAAATAAATAAAACATTAAAAAAAAAAAAGATAAATAACCATTTAAAAACTAATAAGAAAAAGTGAAAGTTGAAAAAAAGAATTGGAAACAGTGAGTGGAAACACCCCTTTAGAGGAGCTCTTGGAAGAATGTCAGGGCCTGAAACCACAAAATGCAATCCCATTCTCTGGACCTATGTGACATTTGAGGAAACTGAGGCCACAGCAAGTCATGCAGCCTCTGCCCCTAGGTAGTAATAGCCCCTCCCACCCCCAGGGCTGATGCAACATTAAATGAGCCAGACAGCCTGGCACAGTGCCTAGCCTGGAGGAAACTGCCTATTATTATTATTATTATTATTATTTTGTTATTGCTGGCATCATTATTATAGCTGGCTGCTCCTGTCTGCTCTGGAAGGTGGTCTGGGTGACTACCGGCCACAGGGCCTGTTCACGTGTCCCTTTCCGGTCTCTGGGGCCCAGGCTTGCCCCAGGCTGTAGGGATAGTGTCCCCAGCCTCTGTGGCAGGCACAGAGGGGCTATCAGGGATCAAGCTTCTCAATTCATCCATTCATTCCTTGATATGGATTGTGTCTCTACTATGTGCCAGCCGCTGGGTTGGGTGCCTGGGGGGTCACAGGGCTGAGTGGAACCAGGCATGGTCTCTGTGCTGTGTGGCAGTGTCATGGGGGCACAGACTTTGGCAAAAAGCCATGCAAGGGGAGGCTGCAGCCATGAGAAGAGCTCTGAAGGCCAGGCCACAACCCAGCTTGGCGAACAGTGCATTGGAAGACCAGGAAGGTGCCCCTCAGTAGCTGACCCTGAGCCAAGATAAGGATGAGAAAGAGCTAATCCAATGAAAGAGGGAGCAGTGAACAGCGTTCCAGGCAGATGGAAGAGCATGTGCAAAGGCCAAGTGGTGAGAGGGGCAAAGTGATGCAGAGCATGTAAAGTGAGAAGCAGCCAGGATGGCAGGAGGGACCTGCCTGTTAAGACCTGGAGGCTGGAGTGGGACTTTGGTCTCCATCCCTAAGGTAGTGGGGAGCCTTGGCATGATTTCAGGGTGTCGGGAGTGCTATGACCAGATATGCATTTTGAAAGCCATAAAAATAACCAACACTGCCACATTTACTATGTGCTAGGCTTGATCCTGAGTGCTTTGCTATCTCACAGGATTCGCACAGTGTGTAAGGTGGGAATGGCTATTCCCATTTTATAGATGGAGGGTCCTGTATTAGAGAGGTCACATCACTCAGCAGAGAACCCCCAGTGAGGAAGTGAGAGCTACCGGGTCACACAGCAGTCATTCAACCCTCACTACAATCTCAGGAAGTAGGGACTGTTATTCTTCCCACTTTCCAGGTGGGGAAACCAGGCCCAGAGAGGTGTAGTAAGTTGCCCAAGGCCACACAGCTTGAAACCAGATTCAAGCTCAGGTAGTCTGGCTCCAGAGTGTCCATGCTCTCAACCACTGCCTCTCATTGCTTCTTGGAAAGTGGTGTGGGAAAAGGTCTTTGGGCACCATGTGGCGGAGGATGGGGAGGGGGTGCACAGCGGAGGCAGGGACAGAGCAAACAGCGGCTCGATCTGGGACAGCTGGGACAGAGCGCACTGGACACACCCAGTGAGGGGCTGCGTGGGGGCTGGGGTGAAGGTGGGGCCTGGAGGGCCCTTGGTTTGGCTTCGTGTAGCCACGTGACGGGGGAATCATTCTCTAAGATGAGCAGGGTGAGGTGGGCATATGACGGGCTTGGTCTAGGACACGGAGGGTTGGGGTGGCGGGGGAGGGGGCGAGTCAGGGAAATTTAGATCCACAGGGCAGATGAACAGAGGCAGGGGTTGGGATGAACCTGTGAAGGAGGACAGAGCAAGAAGGTGGGGGCTTCCCACTCCAGCCCTTAACGACTGTGTGGGATGGAGACGAGGCACTGGCTGTGCCAAGCGTGTGGGGCCTGGCAAACGTGTTTAGAATGGTCGCTGTGGGGCGCCCGGGTGGCTCAGTTGGTTAAGCGTCCGGCCTTGGATCAGATCATGATCTCACGGTTCATGAGTTTGAGCCCCTAAGTGGGCTCTTTGCCTGTTTCGGATCCTCTGTCCCCATCTCTGCCCCTTCCCTGCTCGTTCTCTCTCTCTCTCTCTCAAAATAAACTTAAAAAAAAAAAAAAAAAGAATGGTCACTGTTCAGCAACGTGGGGCATCAGGCTGGCGCAGGGACTGTTTGGATTGACGCGGGGCAGGGGTGCTTGGAGCAGCTAAGCCATGACGAGGTGGCCAAGGGGAATGACATGTCCAGGGGCTCGTGGTTGTTTCAGTGGAGGAGCTGTGGGCCTTCCTTGAGCCGGGGAGAGAGGCCTCAGGAGAAACCAGCCCTGCTGACATTTTGATCTCCAGTTTTCTGGCCTCCAGAACTGTGAGAAAGTTCTGGAGGTCTATTGCTTAGGACCTCGGGTCTGTGACACTTTGTTATGGCCTCAGGAGCAAACTAGTAGATCGGCTGGCAAGTCAGTGGGACAGATCCAGGAGAGAGAGGGAGAGAGAGAGAGGGGTTGAGAACAGAGGGAGGAAGAATTAACTCACGCAGCGTGAGAGCCCTGACGCGGTGGCCTGGACTGGGCCTCTCTGTGTGGAGAAGTGGGTGCAGGTGAACACGGAGTGTTTGGAGATGAGGAGTTTCCTAGCTGGGGTTCTGGGGGAGCAGAGGGGAGTTAGAAGAGATGCTGAGGGGGTGCCTGGAGTCTGAGACCCTCCCCCACAGGCGGTTCAAGCTTCCCAGCACTGTTCCCCAGGGCCAAGCCAGAGGGGATCTGGAGGGCAGTAGAGGATTCTTACCAAAGGAGGTTTGTGAAATAGCCACATGGAATTCCAGCTGAGGCTGAGGGACTGGGGGAGACAGCCACACAGCTAGGGGTGAATATTCATGCCCCAGACTCCTTTGCGCCTGAGTCTTGTAAAGCTGTGGGCTGGGCCCTCTGGGAAAGCAGCCCCAGGGTCTGTGGATGGCCTGGGTGAGGGCTTGGGTGTTGCTGACCTTCACAAAGACATTCAGGTTGTGTGAGCAGGAAGGGGCTTCCTATAAGCCTGGCCAGAGCCTCTTAGCACAGAAGGCCCAGGGAGGGTGAGTGGTGGGGACAGGGGGGCCCGACCCTCGGGGCTCACCCTGGTGGGGTGGGGACCTCTGGGAGTGCTTAGGGGGCCGTCTCCAGCCCTGCGGATACCCCTCTCGCACCAGGCCCTGCAAGCTGCCAGTTCACACCGACCTGGGTGTGCACAGCACACAGGGCCTTTGGCTCTCACGCAGGTCCAGACCGTAGAATCATGCCAGCCACCGATCCAGAAAGCCAACAGTTCAGCACAGAGATGCCGCCTGGCCTAATCTATGCACGCCCAGACCTGGCCCAGGAAATAGCCCATCCATGGTGAGGAACACGGTGGCCCCATGGCTGGAGACTCTGACAATGCATGTCCTGAGCCCATAGCCTGGGGACGCCCAGACCTCTGGCCTCATCTCCCACCCTTTCCCGGCCAGCTTGGCAGACAGAACGGGCCTGGATCCGATGCTCTGTGAACACAGGGCCCTTTCCTACCTGTAAGGTAAGAAGTGACCATCACCCAGGCAGAAATGCTTACTTGGGACCTCACGGCCAGGTCTTGTGGCAGTCGGGAGAAAGGCTGAAGGAAGCCACTGAGTACTTACCTGTCTCAGCATCCCAGCATCACTAAGAGGGGAGCTGGACGGCCATCATGCCTGCTTCATGGATGAAGAAACTGAGGCCCAGGGAAGCACCTCACAGTGAGTTAAGCGCAAGGCCCAGCTCTTCCACTGCCCCGTCCCCTCTTCCCCTCCCTGCATCTTGCGGGGAGGTCCCTGGGGCAGACCCCAAGGGCCTCAGGGTCTTCTTACCGGAGTCCCGTGGCCTGCTCGCTGCCTGCATGCCGCCGGACGGGGGTCCTGTGGCTGGCCCCAGGAGCACGGCCAGCCCCCAGAGCAGCTCGGCGGTGCAGGGACGGGAGGCCCAGCCCACCACGCCGACCGCCTGGGGCCCCATGTATATTTAATGATGCCTATTATTCCTGTTTTGTCTCCGGAAAGGAGCCCCAGCAGCTGACAGAGGAGCCAAGAGCAGCCTGGAAAGCTGGGCAGTGGGCCTGCTCCACGCTCCAGCTGGACCTGAAGACACCCCCAGGGGAGCCCTCTATGCCTCCTGCCAGCCCAGTGCCTGGTAACCCCCCAAAACCTGTTACGATTCACTCCCAAGAGGCACACTTCCTCCAGGAAGCCTCCCGCGGCTCAGAAGACCCAGCTTGGGTACAAATCCCGGCTCTACACTAAGAAGTTGTATAAACACAGGGCAAGGTGTTGCCCCTGGAGAACAGGCTGCTGTGGGGATGGCCTGACACTGACCCTGGCGTGTGGCAGGGACTCTCCGGGCTAAGGCCTGTCCACCTCTGCCTTCCAAGAGCTTCTGAGCTCTCCCCTGTGAGGGCTCAAGGACCTTCAGGGATGCAGCTTACCTCAGCAGCCAGGTCCGGCCTCAGGAGGTGCCACGTCCAGGGCCCACAGCCCCTGGCCAACCTTCCAGGGCAGAGACCACCCCAGAAGGCCCCACCTTCTCCTTTGCACCCCAGACTTGGGCCTGCTCTCCCACAAACCGGGCTCCACCCACCATGCTCGCTGCTGGCCCTGACCCAGCCTGGCAACGGAGTTCACCAAACTGACAGAACTGTCCTCACTCTGAACAAGAATTATGGTCACTCTTTTATTTCAGAAAGAAGGGTGGAGACCAGGGGCTTAGAGAAAAAATACAGAAACCAAGAGCCAAAGTGTCTGTTCCAGGTGTCCGCGCAGGCTCCGGGTCCTAGGGTCCACACAGGCTTTGGGTCCTGGGGTCCACGCTGGGCAGCGGCTGCCCTGGGCGGGCAGGACTCGGCAGGCCAAGGAAGGCATGAGCTGGGACCTAAAGCCACCATGGGGCAGCCCGAGGGGGGACAAGGGTCTGTCCAGGGAGGCCCCCTCCCCAAGCGCCAGCAGGCTCTCAAGGGCCGAGGTGCAAGGACAGTAACCACAGCTTCCGGGGCACCCGGGCAGGGTCGGCTCCTAGCCCCGGCACCAAGCAAACCATCAGCATTAGGCCCTGGCTCCGGGGTAGCAGGCAGCCTGCCCACCCCCCACCCATGCCCAAAGGGGGCCAGGGGTAGGCTTCCAAACACAGAACCCCGACACGAGGGGCCAGGCTCGTGGGAAATGCCACCAGACCAGCCCAAGTCCCCCAACCATATCCCTTTGCCCCAACGCTCTTCGTCATCTGCCTACTGAAGAAACTTCTGGAAACAGCAGAGACTTGAGAGACCCCTTCCGGGGGTGTATGTATTTGTATTTTTCCTGTTCGGGCTTTGGTGTGTCCCGCTTGGGCTGACTCCCCAGGGAGGCAGGACGGGCAGGCAGGGGGCACAGCAAGAGCCGCTACTTCTTGACAATCTGGATGACGTCTTCGTGCTCCATGGTGTGGGTCAGGCCCACCCGCTGCGGGCTGTACTTGGTGCTGGTGCCCTGGTGGGGGGGGGGGGGCAGGGCAGAGGGGCCACCTCAGCCTCTGTACTGAGCAAGGCTGAGGCTGACAGCTATTACAGGAGGAAGGCGGGTGGGTGTACACACTGCAGGGTATGTGAATGCCTGAGTCTGAAGTGGGGGCCCCAGCACTGGCGAATCCCCCCCAGACAGGAGGATGTCCCCAGTGGACTGACCATCCCTGGATCCCAAGATGGGAGAGGCCCAAGTCCAGTACGGGTCCGCATGCACACCCCGGGAACGGGGACACCACGCGGAGTGGCATGAACGCCTTGCTCCTGCCTAACCCGGGAGCGATGCTGGGCACCACCCCGGCCCACTCCCGCCCAGAGACTCACCCACACCAGCGCGTACTTGAACTGGCTGGCGAGTGACCGGTGGATGCGGTGGCACTGGAGGGTGGGAGAGGGTAACAGCGAGATGAGTAGCCAGCCCCCCGAGCATGGCCACACACCCAAGCCCCAGGCCTGTGCTAAGCAGCAATCCCCAAGGCAGGCGCTGCCGCAGCACCGGCCTCGTGAACAGCACAGGCTCCACCCCCAGGCGGCCTTGTGCGCACGGCTGCAGGCTGGCCCGAAGGCCACGGAGCCCATTAGAAATGGCCTTGAGGTCATCAGAGGAAGGTCTGGACCTGGCTGCCGGCAGCCTTCCACCGGCCCTGCCTGCATGACGACCCTGACAGATGCTCCTTCAGATGGGTGACGGTGGCTGTCAGGACACGCCACCTCAGCCTGGAGTCACCACCCTGGCCGCTGTGCCCCGTGCCCTGGAGCCTCCCACCCATGACGTCATCCACCTCCACCTCAGGAGTCCCGAGCTCTTCAAGGAGGCTGGAAGGAGGGGACCTCTCTGGCTGCGCAGTGGAGGGGGCTGGGGAGATAGCTTCTGTGGGGACGCTGAGCCTGTAAGAACGTTTCCTGAGCGCGGACGGGGCCTCCTCTAGGTGGCTGTGCTGAACAGGACCCTGCTGCCCGGGAGGAGCACGGACAGCCATGCACGTGGTTTCAACACTGTTCTCCAGAGCAGAGAGCGAATCTCTCTGGGTTTTACGTCTTCCTCAGCTTGACCCCCAACAACGGAGCGGGGCTGCACACCCATAGGGACTTCCCTGGGACCCCGACAGCCTTAGGAGCACGGGGCTGGCACTCCCGGCCTCAAGGCAGGCAGGCCCCGCTGCGCCCGGCTGTCTGTGACACGGGGAACCAGGTGCTGTGGGGCTTGGAGAGGAGTCTCTCCGCACTTGCATCTCCAGCAATGGGGGACAGTGGCAGGTCACGCCCGGCCATCTTTTCCGCTATGGGAGAGAACGCATGGATCGACGACAGGAAGGCCACTGCTGCTCTGTGCCCCCTGTACCCCCCACTCCTCCGAGCTCTGCCAGGTCCTCTCTGCCTGGGGGGCTTATGGCCCACGACCCTTTCAGAGGCAGACCTTTGTCAGCTCTCACTGAATCTGCACCAGGGCCTAGGCTGGTGCATCACAAAGGCCCGGGGGTGGGGGCACGGGGGTCAGTTACCCTCAGATGAGGAATCGAAGGCACAGGGAGGCTGACACAGGATGGAGGAGAGCCAGGGTACGGCCCTCGGTCTGCCTGGGGCCGTGCTGTCAGCTTCTAGGCAGGTCTTTACCTATACTCTGTGGCACGTGGGACAGCTGGGTGTCCCAGGAGGGAGGCACCTGTGGGGAGGGTAACCAGGGAGGAGACCAGTCCAAGCTCTGGAGCAAGGCCCCCAAAGCCCCTCCCCTACCCCACTGGACTCTCGTCACCCTTGGGTCTAGTAGCTCCTGCCCCTGGGGCAGCTGATGACAAACGGCCGGCGTTCCCCACATTCACTCCTGCCTCTGGGCCTTTGTACGTATTAGTCCACTGCCTGGAAACCTATTCTCCCCCTGCTATCTCCCGCTTTTCTCCCTGGCAGCAGCTGGAGTCCTCCGGGGCAAGCAGCCTGGGCCTGAGAGGGTGGAGGAGAGTACCCACAGAGCGCGGGGTACCTTGGCCGAGGGCCAGCACAGGGGGGCGCCCGTATCAACAGCTGCCAGGTCCCCAAGAGACCCCTCCATAGTCACAGGTTCCGAAAGAGGCTTGCAGTGCAGAGACGCCCCCTGTCGTAAGGAGTGACCTAAGGGACATAGCTCCTGCCTGCCAAGCCCACCAGCCTTCAAGGCCTAGCCCCGCCCATTCATATCAGGAACCTCTGGCTGGCAGAGGCCTCGGGCTGGGCTTGCTGACCCAATGCGCGCATGAGCCCAGACGGCAGGCCAGCGCACCGCCTGTCCATGGTACAGATCCTGAGGAGACACGAGCTAGGCGGAAAACAAACCCCCAAAAAACAAAGCCTGAGAAGATGCCTGTGTGGACCTGGAGAAGTGTTCCAGGCACTTGAGCCATCATTTGTTCCTGCGGGGCCCAATACACCTTCGTAAAAGATAGTGCAGGGTCACATTCAGGGGACAGGGGACAGCTTGTGCCTGTAACAAAACACTAGACATGGAAATGCACTCCCCTCTCCCTGAGCCCACAGGCTCCGCCCAGAGCCCCTCTGCCTCAGGACCTTTGCATAACTTGCGCCCCTGCCTAGGAGAGCTTCCACCACCCCTAACTCTTCATTGTCGGGTCCTACTTGGTCTACAGGCCCAATCAGGACACCTCCCTCAAGACCACCTGGCCTCTCTGTGTAGACGGGGTCACTCCCTGTTCCCTTACTTTCTTGCACTCCCCCTTACGTGTGACTGCCTAGCTCTGGGGTTGGGTATTTGGCACCTTTGACCCTGATGGACCCTGTTCTGGCAGGAACCGGGGCTGCTTTATCGTTGGTGCTTAATAAATGTGTGTTGAGTGTAAAAAGCATTCAAAGCCATCCTGGGCTGGGGGCGGGATGTGGGAGCAGAGAGGGCTGCTAGGGGCTGACTCAGGACAAGGAGCCAACAGGGGCCCAGGGCACAGAGGTGGTAAGTCTGAGCCCTAGGCCGGCACTGGGGAAACACAGCTTGGAGTTAACGGGAAAAGCCCCCGGGCAGTGGCTCTACCTGACTACACACCTGAACAGCTGTGGCTCTGAGCCTGCAGCACCCGGATGTGACAGGCCAGCGACGAGTACCGCTTCCTGGACACGTGCCAGGTGGCACGCCGACTATTCACAGGCTGGATCTCCCTCAACCCCACCCTCTAGCCACCGCTGGGGTAGGCAGTGCCAGCCGTGCCAACGGGAGAGGCCTGTGGCTCTAGATGCAGCGAGGCAGGGGGCCGGGGATGCAACGCCAGGTCTAACTCCACAGCTGGCGCCGGACCCCTCTGCTGTTGCAGCAGGGGGTCTGGAGACCCTCGGGCAAAACCCCACAGCGGGGACGGAGAGCTCCCTGAGCTCACTGTCCGGAAGGGTCTCGGCAACTCACCACATGCTCCACGGAGGCCCCTTTCCGGAGGATGATGGCATCCGTGAAGTCCGGCCTCTCTGCAAAGGTAGAGGGAGGCAACCACAGTTATGGCCCCAAGCTGCCCCGCGGTTCCCTTCCATCAGGGGACAGAGGCCCTTCTAGCCCCCAGCCTTGGCTTCAGTCTTGCCCTACAGGTCCTCTTGACTTTAACACAGAACATAAAAGTACAGCACATCCAGGAGGGCCTGGGACCCGGTCAGCCGTGAGAGTAAGTCCGGCCACATGAAGCATCTGGACGGAACTCCTACGGCGTGACAGCTGCCGGGGACCAGTCAGGGGCAGCTGCATCTCCCTTGCCGATACGGTCAAAGCCGATGCAAAGGGCCAGAACTCAGCTGCAAGGTCATAGGGTGTGTGAGGTGTGCAACCAGGGGGAGGGGACATGATGAAGGTTCCCATGCAGTCACTCGCCTGACCCAGAGAGGGGGGGCTCCTGCTAGTGGCGGCTGGGAGGGGGTCACTGCCGTAGCTGGTGGGGAACCACAGGACAGCCTCTCTCCCTCTGCCCCTCCCCGCCCAGCCCCCCAGGGCATCAGATCCCAGGAAGCGGCCTTCTTTACTGTGAAGGCTCAGCCAAGGGCCCCAGCAGCCTGGGGTAGAGGGCAGTGCCAGTTCTGAGATGGGAGAAAAGCTGAGATCTGCGCAGGGCAGGCTGA